TTTTTCCTTAGCTACCCGTAGCTTCTGCCACTCTCACAACTCCTATTGAACATTGTACTTGAAACTCTAGCCAGAGCAATCAGTCAAGAAAATGAAACTAAAGGGATACAAATAAGAAGATAAATTATCTCTGTTTGCAGATTAGATGATCCTATATCTAGAAGACCCCAGAAAACTTCACCAGTAAACTTCTAGAGCTGACAAATAAATTTAGTAAAAGAGCAGGACATAAGGTCAACATATATAAATCAATCAATTTCCTCTACTCCAATAGTGAATTTGCTGAGAAAGAAATTAGCAAAACCATTCCATTCACAAAAACCTAAAACAAACAAACTTGAGAATAAATCTAACCAAGAAAGTGAAAGATCTTTATGATGAAAACTGTAGAGCACTGAAGAAAGAAATTTAGAAAAACCTTAGAAGATGGGAAGACCTCCCATGTTCTTGGATAGGCAGAATTAATATTGTCAAAATTGCCATAATAATGAAAGCATTACACAGATTCAATGAATCCCATAAAAACATCAACGGCATTCTTCATAAAACTAGAAAAACAGCCCTACAATTTATCTTAAAGAATAAAAGATCCAGAATAGACAAAGCAATCCTGAACAAGAAGAGCAATGCAGGAGGCATCACAATTATACTAATATTAAATTATACCTCAGAGCTGTAGTAATAAAACAGATTGGCATCAAACAGATTTGAAGACAAATGGAATACAATGGAAGATACAGAGACCAAACCATGTAGATATAGTCATTTGATACTCACCGAAGATGCCAAAAACACGTTGGAGAAGAGATAGCCTTTTTAACAAATGGTAAAACATAATACTGGATAATACATATCCATATGTAGAAGAATGAAACTAGATCCCTATCTTTCACTTTCAAAGTAGATCTCAAAGTGGATCAAAGACCTAGGAATTAGATCAAAAACTCTGTAACCACTGGAAGAAAAATAGGCTTAACAGTCCAACATATTAGCACAGGAAATGATTTCCTTAACAAGATCCCTAAAGCACCAGGAAAAAATACCCCAAGAATCAACAAATGGGATGCCATCAATTTAAAAAGCTTCAGTACAGCAAAGAAAAGAAGAATGTGAAAAGAGAGCCTACAGAATGGAAGAAGATCTTTGCCATTGATCTCTGACAAGGGATTAATACCCAGAATACATACATAACTCAAAAAAGCTAACACCAAAAAATACATAAATATAATAAAATAAGACCCCATAATTAACAAATGGGCAAAAGAACTTAACAGACAATTCCTCGGGAAGAAATACTAATATATAAAAAAGTCTTCAATATCCCTAGGAGGGATATGCAAATAAAAACTGCATTGAGTTTGTATCTCACTCCAGTCAGAATGACAATCATCAAGAATATAAATAACAATATATGTTGGCAAGGATGTGGGGAAAATGTACACTCATACACTGTTGGTAGGAGTGGAAATTTAGTACAACCACTCTGGAAAGCAGGATGAAGTTTGCTCAAAAGACTAGGAATAGGACAACCATATAACCCAGCTATCCTGCTCCTCAATATTTACCCAAAAGAACTAAAACCAGCATACTATAGTGGCATAGATACATCAGTGTTTATAACAATGCAACTCACAATAGCCAAGTTGAAGAACCAGCTCAGGTGCCCATTAAGAGATGAATGGATAAGGAAAATGTGTTACACATACACAATGGTATTTTCCTCAGCCATAAAGAAGAATGAAATTACAGCATTTGCTGGTAAGTGGATGGAATTAGAGAATATCATGCTAAGGGAAACAAGGAAGTCAAGGGTTGAATGTTTTCTCACATAGGGAGAAGCTAAACCATCTAGCTTTCTTAACAGTAAAGTCCAAACTGCTCCCAGTTTCAGTCAAAATATATTTAAAATGATAAAATTCACATTCCTGGACTCTACTATAGAGATTCTGAAACTACCAACCAGAAATGGGATCCAAAGTCATGTCTTTGAACTTCCACAGGATATTTTAATGCAGGTTATGGTGGGACCACACTTGGGCACTGAGTACTCTAGATCATGGGTGGGGGTAAGCCTTTAAAGAAGGGGCAAATGCAAGTGGTCCTAGTCATGAAATGCATGATCTGCCATTAAGCACAGAATGTCTTGTGCAATAAGATTTGGTTCACTGAAATATCTCAACTCTAAGACACAAAAATATCAAGTAGTACAGGCTACTGGTGGGCTTTAAGGCTGGGTCACACACAGTTCAGCTTTCTCTTCAGCTCAACAATTCAACTTTACAAAAAAAAACTTACCCTAAGGACATAATCAGACTTTATTCAAAACATTGGTAGGATTGCAGAAATTATTTAAGAGTTCTGAATAAATAAGAAGAGGATGAAGCTACTCTTAATAACTTTTCCTTAAAATGCTGGCTATGGGCAGGGAACACGAAAGGAAAGCACACTGCACTTTGTGTCCCACATATTCAGACTTTGTTTTGCAAATGTTTTGTGGTTACCAAGGCAACCTCTGGTTTCTCTGTGTAAATGGGAAATTGGGAACCTAGGGGTTTTTTTCAAAAAATGATTAGTGTGTTCTTTTTATCCTGGTTAGCTCGTTCTGTGCTGACAAATTGCATTCTGACAGCTAGGTTGTAATCCAAAACATGCTTTTTTTAGAGACTCTGAATAATAAAGAATTTCCAGGGTTTGACAGTTATTCTTCATTTATATTTTTATGTACATGAATTTGCTTTCATTGAATTCAAGAGATAAGCAAAAGTACTAAATACTTGGTATAGGTTTTAAATAACTCAGAAATATATTCTCACTTAAAATATTTGACATATCAATTTGATTACTATACTCTTGGTGTAAGGAAAGAACATTCTGAATCTGTTGGACATGAGCTGAGCCTTGACTCCACCATTACTAGTTGTGTGAGTTGGGCAAGAAGTCTTACCCTTTAGATCTCAGTATCCATGAATAAAGTAAAAATCAGAGATATATATAGTGTCTATAATAATGCCAAGTCTACTGAGCAGCCTCTCAATATAACATAGCAGCTATTATTACCAAAGACATAGCAAAGGCAGGCAAAGAAACATACAAAACCTATTAGATTTGGTTTAGAAAACTCAGGTCCACAGAGGAAAAATGAATAAATAAAAACTAATGCTGAACAGTCATTATTAGGATTGACCTCTTCAGGTTTCAGTTTTTTGTGACATTATTATGAGATGTACTCATCAGTAAGTTAGGATGGAAAACAGGACTGGCAAGCTTCACAAAGGAAGTTCTTCAAAACTGAAAATTCTGTGTGCAGTCAGCTAAAGTTAATGCATATCTCTGAAACAGCAAGTGACCAAGCTTTTAAGCTACTGGAGGTCCCTGTGAAACAGGCTCAGAAGCCTTCCACAGCCCACTGAAGATGAAGAAGTGGGATCAGCAAGGACAAGGATTCTCCTTCTCCGGGGCTGAGTCACTCTTGAGTAAGGTTCGAAGGGCAGCAGGGTCAGGACTCCCCACCTGCTTCCCAAGAACATTTATGAATCCATCTTTTCTTTTTCACATAGGCCCATCTATATTCTGTATCTCATGGTGTGACATTTTTTTAAACTGTGTCTAGAGGAAGAGAGTTTAGTGGGGACATGCTAAGTCTTTCATCATTATATGCCCTAATTCTTAATCTGCCTTTATTCCTTAACTTCTGTTACTGTAACAAATGAAAACATCACAGATGATCATGGGGCAAAATATGGATGCCCAGAGCAAAATGCAAAAATTATAAAGCAAAACAAGATATTCTGAAATTAAAAACTATGTAAACTCTCTTCAAATTAAAGAAACAATTTGAGTCCTTACATCTGTATCATATATGGCACATAAACCCAACCTATATATATAAAGTTGGTCAGTGTATTGAAAAGTATTTAATTACCAAACAACAACAACAAAACCAAGGGCTCAGCACCAAAAGACATCAACACCGTGCCTTCACTGTTGGAATCTGATTTCCATCTATCTATTTTACATCTAAGGCAGTTCATTCTAGAGTGTGGCCATGGGCAGGAGAAAGGTCACTTGATGAAGATTTTTCTCTGATTGCCTACCTTCTCAGTGTACTATTCTAACCTACTTGTTATCAAGACAAGGTAAAATATAGAACTCTGGGAGCATGGCTTTAAAAAGGAAGTGCCAGTGATAATAGTAAGCTGTTCCTTTTCAGACCAGTTCCCCACCCACCACCACCATCCTCAGCACCACCCCCATTCTCTTCATTTCAGCGTAGCTCGATGAGAGACTCAAGATCCTTCATCTCTGATCTGTAACTGGTTAAGGTTGAGCCCCTGACCAAGCTGGGTCAATCCTGGCCCCTCCCAAGGATTCCCAGATAAAATAAAGGAACTCAGATAAATCTGAATATTAGATAAACTATGAATGATTTTTACTATAAGCATGCCCCAAATATTGTAGTGAGACATCCTTGTACTGCACACTGTAATGGTGGTCTCAGACCTGACAATAACAGCTGCAAATGCACAGAGTACTTCCTGGGTTCCACGGGGCACTCTAAATACTTTGTAAATACGAACTCAGTAACTAAATGAAATGACACAGAGGTATAAACATATGCCAATATATGGATGGCCTGAGGTTAGAAGAGTGCCCTGTGTATTTTTAAATTTAGAAAATCATGCAAAACTTACTATAATTAAGATATTTTATGGATCACCACTGATAAGCTGCAAACCAATTTGTATAAAACTTGAAAAATATAAGCAATGAAAACTAAAAGGCTGAAAAAGCAGTGGGCTGAGAAGCCAGAGGTGAAAATTTCAGCCCCTCTTCTCACTAGCTAGGTGACCTTGGACAGTTCTCCTCCCTCATGGATCTAGGCTTTCTTACTTGCAACATGAGTCTTGGATGAGGTCATTATTAAGGTCTTTGCTTCCTCTAAAAGTCTAATATATCCCCCATAATACTGGAAGGACAGCTTGCAGGGAAAAGTTCATTACCTCTGCAATCATTCTGTTGGTGTCTCCTAAGAAGAGCAAATTCAGAGCTTCTTCCTCGTTTGTTGCTTGATGCAGAGACAGGTTTTTCAGATGAATGTTCTGATCAGTGTCCTCCAATAGTGTCACTTTCCTAGGGAAATGGGAAGCAAGAAAACAAGGAACTGTTGAGAATCCAAAGAATGTCAAGTCTTTCCTACAGGTTTATTTAAAAAACCGTACAGTAGGATGTCTTGACCTTATAAAGCGATAACACACCAGGAACCAAGCAGCACTGCAGGAGCATCAAACACTGACATTTCCTCAACAGTGCAATCAGATAGCACTGGGGCTGAAGAATAGATTACAAGCCTCTGATTTGAAGCCACCTGTCATTTTAATCATCAGATCATCTTAAATGTATATTCTTACTAAGTTAAAAATGCAATAAAACTTTCTATCTATATATTAGAAAACCAGATCATCTTGGTTTCGGGGGCGGGCATAATTCAGTTTCTTACATGGGTAACAAACTAATCCTTTCTTTTTTTTTTTTTTTCAATTGCTTATCACTTTCAATTTACCTAACCTTTCAAACTGGTTAGCTCATAAACTTAAACAGGGAGAATATCTGTCATTCCTCTAGGATTTATTCTTCTGTATGGTTTTCACACCAAAGTGAGTAAAAAGTTCTCAAGAAGTCTTATTTAACTTGTCATTATTCTCTGTCAAATCTGTTTCTTGATGCTTTTTCCTTTACTGCACACATTTTCCTTCTACTCTATCCTTACCAATAGAGCCTTAGATCTGGAATCACATTCATCTATTGCAACCACCTTTATGTACGTCCTAGTGCCTACACCATTTCCTCCCAGGTGAATCCTAAGCCTGCTTCCAGTGATGGCTTGTTAGTACTCTCCTTATAGTCCCTTTAGGACTTTCTTTTTTTCTTATTTCTAAAAATTTTTTGATTTGTTATATATGACAACAGAATGTAATATAATTCATATTATACATTCAGAGCACAATTTTTCATCTCTCTGGTTGTACACAAAGTAGAGTCACATCCTTCATGTCTTCTTACATGTATTTAGGGTAAGTGAAAAAAATTTGGCCAACATCCTCAAATCCTGCTTCAAAGGCCTACAAATTCAAGCCATAAACTTACTATAGAGAATTCCCCTGTCTCTGGAGTTTTGCCTTCTTTATTTTCTTAAGAATCATTACAGAAAGGAAATTTATCATACACAGGTATTGCCAAAGAGTATCCACAGGTATTTTCACTTGTTTAAAACATTTGGAATGGATGAGTGTAGGTGAAGGTTGCCATCATCTAGAGCTACTTCTCCTTTAAAAGGACAACAACAGACGTGTCACTTAGCAACAGACACATGTCACCTCCCTACTTATGAAAACTTAGATTACCTTTACAATGAAGATTTTTCAAATATCATAATATTTTCATCTTTTTGTTTTGTAAGGAAGTTATCTGGGTTTTCATATGTAATTTGTGGGCACTTAAAATACTAATTGCAGGAAGAATATGCAGCTCTACCAGCACATCTGTGACCAATATGCCACTAATAATGTGCTCTTTTGCTGAATTTGGCCTCTTTTATGTCTCCTTTGACAATACCCACAGAGATGGAAAAAGATCCCCTTCCTTAATGAAAACAAGTGTAATTTATTTATTCTTAAATAGGACTCATAAGTGAGCTTATTAAAAATACTTAAGAGTTCAAAAATGCTTGGAAAATATGAAGACATTTTTAATTGAAATGGATGAGTTGTGTTCTATTTTTAGGACCCTCCTTTATTTCTTATACTTCATTTCCATCCTGATCCTTCTGAAGTGCTTGAGTAGGTTTGACTATTTAAACTCCTGGGGACAGAATTCTTCCTAAATCCATAGATTGTGAGGATCTGAAACTTTTACCTATAAAAGTGAAAGAAGTTAAGTAATATTGGAAGATAAAGACATGAAATAAATGATGAGGTGGAACCTTAAAAGGGAAAAAGAAGAAAGTTCTATCCTTTTCAGTATGAAGTCAATAATCCTCTAAGTTGGAGGTAAGTCACCTTTGATGGATTTTTTTTAAGACCCAGACAGACAAAATATTTCTCCTGTGCAAGTTCAGAACAGGCAGGGGCTCAGAGAAAGGGAGAGGGCTATCAGGAAACAATTCAAAGAAGCCAGTGCTCTCACTCATTGGGCACCAGATGTATGCCAAGCACTACTGTATGCCAGGTATCTGCATTGCTTCATTTAATCCAGTTGTTCTCAAAAAGAACTACCTATGGAACTTCACACACACACACACACACACACACACACACACACACACACACACACACACACCAAAACCAAACCCTGAGTCAGATCAGGTCCTACCTTAAGAGTTTCTGATTTGATTGATCTGGGACACTGTCTGGGTATCAGAGTCTGTAAAGGCTCCAGGTGATTCTGGTGTGTGGTCAAGATTGAGAGCCAAGGACTTCATCTTTAATGACCGTTCAAAGAAGACACAGAGGGAGGGGATTTCTGGTTTCTTTTGTCTTTACTTTCCACCAGCTGCATCTTACGCCCAAGGGGTAAAGTTACAAATCTCATTGGTTGTAGCTGAAGACACTGATGAGCCACATCTATTGACAGATGAGAAAACTGTGAAGTGTAAATCCTTCATAGGAAGCCTCTACCTCCCAGACCATGCAGCTAGGGGCTAACCAAGCCACACAACAATAACCACAATAACTAATGCTAAGCTGGGGATTATGCATCTAACTAAACATCTGTAGTGTTTATGTCAAAAAATGTTTGTGATAGGAAGAACATATCACACATACATTTCTCCTTATTACTTCACTGAATAGAAAATGCAGTAAATGAGCAAGGATGGAATTCTAAGCATGCACATTTATTAGAAAACCTAAGTGGGTCACTGATTTAGGGTTATATTTATATAAAAAAAAATACAAGCATAAGGTGCCAAGTGTTTGCCAAATGCCATCACTGGTGTTTAGCTAAGCAATTTTTTTTTTTTTTTTTTTTTTTTTTTACCATTCAGAGCTTCAATCTCCAATGTAGCTATTTCAGAAACACACTGGTACTTGTCCAGCTTTGTTACTTGGATCACAATAACAATTCGCACCCCCTCCCTCAGTTTTTCTTCATAGAATTTTGAGATGTTTTTTATAACCCAACTCGGCATTTAAAAATTTTTATTCTGATATAATGTTTCCCTAATAGTTTTCTGATTTCTTATTAATGCAATGAATATAGTTTCTCATTTTTATATTATGGCCAAGTGTAGCTGTGGTGATTTCTATTTTCTTTTAGCTTTATTTTATTTATTTGTACATGGTATTAAGGATCGAACCCAGGGCCTCACACATGCTAAAGTAAATCAAGAGGTAGGTTGATCTCCAAACTCCTTTCATACTCTTGGTGCTCATATGTAGACACCCAACAAAAGGTTAGACTTTGGTATTCTTCTGGAACCTCTGAGAGGCAACCTCTTCTCTCTTGTCCATTCTTTGTAGATTCATTCTGGTTTCTGCCCAGTTCCTGGGCATGAGGATTGGGACCTTCCCTTATTGACCTGTCTGTCCATGTGTCAACCCCAGTTCTCACAGCGATGTTCCAAGGCCAGCCTGAGCCTTGCCGTGGCTTCTATCTCTTGCCTAGGAGAGCTAATCAGGGAGTGAAAATAAACTTAAATTCTCCTACCAGTAGAACAGCTTTTCAAAGTAGGGGAAAATAAGAACCCTTATAAGAGTTTCTCATCCAGTTGCTTCCTATCTCTCTCTCTCTCTCTCTCTCTCTCACACACACACACACACACACACATCAATAACTGTTTCCTGAGTCTTTCGTCTACCACTTGGTTCTGACTGTAGTTTTTATGGGCTTGAAAAGAGGGCTTTATTAGAGTTTCTTAAATAAATATCCTAATTCCAAGATGGAAACCCACCAAACTATTTATTTGATTCATTTTGAATGGGCCTGTGCATAGTTTTCCCTACAAAACGTTTCTAAAATGTTTAGATTTCAAGTGAAAAGTCACTGATAGCCTTAACTTGGATACCTAAGTGGAAAAGTTCTGCTAAGTCTACTCGGACTGCTTAATGGTGGGGAAGAAACAAGCTTTGTGTTTTCTCTGTAAACAGAGAATCTTTTCCATTTGGCTGCTTAGTAGGAATTTGTAGGCTTTTTTTTAACTGACTGGAAGACATCTGAAGAACAATGGCCAAGCTCTTATTCTCAGTAATGGAAGGCATCAATGAAAGAACCCGCCCCAGCCCACACCTACCTCCAAGGCATTCCAACACCATGACTTTCCGAAGAAGAACTCTTCAGGAGTTACTGCAATGCATATAGTTTCTCATTTTTATGTTATGGCCAAGTGTAGCTGTGGGGATTTCTATTTTCTTTTGTCTACTTGCAAGTGTCCCATATGATTGTGCAGGCTGTGAACTACACAATGACACCATGGCCAAGGACATGTCATTCACATCATGATTTTGTATATTTGTTATGACAAATGTCTATCAGAGAGCAGTCAAGTGTCTTCCAATAAAAACATTATAAACAATCTTCCCACAGATGGCAGGGAGCCTTTTACTAAATCACATAAATATGCCATAAGGACTGGAGGTCACTCTGTCTAGATAATGCTGACCTACAGAAATCTCCATGCCCACAAGCCTCATGAAAATGGGTGTGTGTGGGAGGGGGGCGGGAGTGCCCAGGCCCTTCTAAATAACGGGATATGTTTCATGATGGGAACAGTGCTATCTCCACTCATTTCAATAAAGAGAATATTCCCCAGTTCAGTGGTTCTCAACCTCTTTTTTCTCCCCACCCCAGTGCATGTTTTCTTGGAACCTCTCTGTGGTGAAGATTTGAAATCAAGAGATGAGGTGAATTTTTAGAAATACGCAAGGGAAGGGGGCAGCCTTCCAACATTAAACAATTTCAAAGGTAGATTTTCTTTAGATTGGTTAAAAACCTTCTAAAAGTTTTCCTCTGTAATAAAGTACAAATAGCTGAAATATGTCACTGGAAAAAGTTTCATGAACTTAGGGTACATTTTTGTGTTGGTATTGACCTTGACAAAATAGTCTAAAGGTCATGGACATTTTCTCTGTTTAATC